CATTATATAATGTGAAATTATTTAATTTTGGTTTCTGTGAGATTCTAGAACATTATGTTAAAAAATGGCTTCCAAACTCTTTTCCCAAACTCAAAATCTCATGACCAGGGGAAAAAAAAAAACAACCACCCAAATAAACAAAAACAAATGCAGATATTTATACCATAACTTTCAACCTTTAAATAGGACAGATGCCACCTCCAGGTCAGAGTTAACCTGATCTTGAATATTTTTACTATCCTCTTCATTTAATGACTTCACAAATCGAGAACAAACATTCATATCAAATCGGTTAGGCAATATGAATTTCATTCCCATGGCAACACCCTGAGCTGATCCTTCTTCTGAACTGGGGTCCAGTGGATGTTCTATTTTAATGTCGGGCATGCCAGTTAGACTATAGCTGCTGGGACATTCTTCCACTATCAGCTGGGCTCCAATATCCAGATTTGCTGATGTAGCCATGATTTCAACTGTAGTTTCAATAATTAAAACATTTCTTCATGATTTCTTCTTGGTTTTATGTGAGTGGTTTCCAGTGTATTCTCAGAATCTGGATATTAAAAAATCTGAAAGAAAAAATTAGAAAATTAAAAGTATTATATCAACTTAGGTAAAAACATACAAAATCATTATTTTCAATCAAGTATACAAACAACGCTCTTAATAAGCACATAACAGAAAGCACACAGTGTTCAGAGGCACAGAAACCTGGGTATGAATCCAAGCTTCACCATTTATTAGCAGTGTGACCTGTATAAGTTACTCAACTTCTCCGAGCCTGTCTCATTTGTAAAACAGGGATACCACCATTAACCTTACAGGACCCTGGTAAAGATCAAATGAAATATTGTACAATAACGTTCTCATCTCCATTGCTATGTTCCAACAAATTTTAGTTACTGTTTTTCCCCTTTCCTCTACTTGAATATTGCCAAATGGATAAAAGATCAGGCTAACAATGAAAATAAACCTTCATATTAAAACTTGAACCTCTTACCTGAAGTTCATTTTTTTAATATGCTGTTTATAAAAGTGGCTCTCAGTTTGAATTTAAGAAAAGATATAACTCATGTTGTACCCAAGTTTATTGGCATTGTTATCTATAACACCTGTGATTCCTAGACCTTTACATAGCTTTGGCTTTGATGAATTGAAGGTATATTCATCAGTTTTTGTTCAGCTCAAGCACTTGTAAGTTAATGTAGGTTTTTATGAAAAATAAAATATGTAGATTATGCATTGGCTTTCCAAAATATATAATTGCTCCAGATATATTATCACTTGAGACAGGAAAAAATTAATAACATCCAGTTCATTTTTTCATGTTAGGGTTTTGAGAGGGTGCAGGGTGTTTTAAATTGGAATTAATTGGAATTAAAAGAGAAAAAAGCATTAGGATCACAGTGCAGCAGGGGTTGGCAGACCATAAATTTACAGATAACCACTTTTTACAGTTTTAAAACCATTTTCAAAGACTGTTCCTGATAACAATCCTTTGAGTGGGCATGTCAGGTAATTATTTATATTATGTCAACTTAAAGAGAAAAAAAGCTCATAAATTATGAGGGAGTTATCCGGCTCTTCTGACTCCACTACCTTGACCATTTAAAATAAGCAGCGGAATTAAACTAATCCAAAATTTCCATAGGAGAAAGTTAAATAAATGACACGCAGTAAGAAAAAAAAAAGCAACAAGTAACAAAGTTAATACACTTTAGCAAAAGGAAAGAAGGAAACCAGAACAGTGATTCAAATGGAGATGGATGTGTAATACAGAAATCCATGGGTCCAAAAGGGATTGCACATGAACTCTGTTTCCTAAGGGAAGAACTATTTCCCTCATTTTCCTACCCAGGGGTGGGCTAAGTGCTACTCTCCCGAGCTCTCTCAGCACCCTGCGTATGTCTCTATTTTAGCATTCATCATTACCTTGGGAATTTCCATTTAAAGTTCTACTAAATTGAAACCTCCTCTAGGATGGGGACCACTTTTATTAATCTTTGCACACAAAGCAGTACTTGGTCCTACCAGGCGCTCCATAAATGTTTTCCGATATGAACTTTAACAATTTTTGATATCCTTTTCTATTTCTAACATTTGCTGATTAGATCTGGCTTTCCATTCCCAACATCGCTTAAAAACTAGCTGTGCAATCCTGGACAAACAAACCATGTAAGTTTTCTGAGATTCACTCTATAAAATAAAGGTGTTGAAACAGACATCTCTACTATTCTCTCCAGCTCTAAATAGCTTCCCTGTTATAAACCAGGGTTTACAGATGCAATTACCAGTCTTTGAGAGTAGCAAATGTGCTTTTGCTGAGGCAGGGGTGTGTGTGGAAACAGAACGCTTATCTCAGCACTAGAGAGAAGCAAAGTTGACTGGTAAGCCAAAATTTTGAAGAACAGGAGAGCGAGGGAAAAAATATGACCGAGAAGAGGAGACGGTGAGAAAAACAGGTAAGGCAATAGATACCTAGGATCACCTTGATCTGTCAGCCCAGGGATGAAGGGAGAGCGAGCTCAACAAGATAAAGTGGGCAACTGTGCTAGTCCCTAGTGGATGCTAGGTACCGCAGCAGTCCCCGCGGTTCTTCCTGGTCCTGGAACTGTCCCGAAAGGAGGGAGGAAGGTGCTATGAAAATGAATGATGCCTCACAGGCGACAGGTGTCCCGGCGTCCCAGGACAGGAGCCCGCTGGATGGCAGACTGGTAGGGAAGGAAGTCCGCTCTGTCGCCACAGGCCAGCTGTACCCGAAAAATCCCAGGCGGAAACAAGCGAGGCGAGTGAATCTCGGGGACAGAGGCAAGAGGCCCACCGGGTGGGAGCGCAGGGCCTGGCGACCGCCTTAGACAGCAGAGAGCGAGTCGGGTTTTTCCATCTGCGGCCACAGACCCAATGCAAGCCCCCAAGTCCGGGCTTGTTTTGGCCGCGACGTCACTTCCGGTTTCTTCTTTCGCTTTCTGGCCTAAAAACGTTCCTCATCAGTGCAGCTGAGAGCATTTCCGGGTTTTCTTTTCTTTTTTCTCTTTTTTTTTTTTTTGCCGCTTTTACGCTTCTCAGTCCATCCTGCCGGAGTACTGCACAGACAGAGTCATTTCAGTTGACAGCGGTGGATCACAAGAGCAAAACCCCAGTCTCTTCCTTCGGCCACGCCACCTCCTCCTAATCGCCCCGCCCACTGACCTGGCGTCATCCAGGCTGCGCTGTGTACGTCATCTGCGCGCG